GAGAGAGAGAGAGAGAGAGCATGTAGGGTAGATAAATATATTTATATTGAATCTATTTTTCTAATATTGAGAAATTTGAAACTCTACTGAAAATGATGAATTTTCAAAACAAATGAAATAATAAATGATAGAAAATATCATTTTTGTTCTCTGAACTATATATACATGAATAGCTATTTATTTTCAAGATCTCCAAGTTTAATATACATGTAACTCTTTGGTATATACGTACATGTTGTTTTTAGAATTAAAAATTCAGGGTCGGGTTTTATTTCTACATGTAAATGCTAACATATCCAAGCTTCTGGCACCAGGCACGTAGCATCGTTTTTGAAAGTGGGGGGGGGCATCCAGAGAATTTTTTTTTCTTCCCTGAAAAAGTTGACAAGCAAAAAAATAAGGTTAATGTTGCACAAAGTCGAAAATCCTATTTCGTGGGGAGGGGGGGGGGGGGGGGGTTAGAAGCCAACTTTTTTCAGTACCAATTTTTATACTATATATACTACGTTTTCCGTACACTGTTGTACTAATAGTGGGGGGGACCAGGCTTTCAATTATCAATTCCTATAGTATAAGTAAGGTTGGGGAGAAAGTGAAGGGCCAGGACCCCCTGCACCCCCCCCCCGTCCTGTTGCTACGTCCCTGGGCACGGGACCAGAATGAATTCATACTCTTTAAAACTCACTTTATAGAATAAAATTAGAAAACAACATTAGAATGAAGGAGTTTTTTTTAATTAGGTCATAAATAATATGATAGTTTTCTAAGATGTTTACATCCCTACAAAAATCTGACATTTCAAAGCTCAGCCAGTTCACAGACAATTGTCAGGAAATATATTATACAAAACAGTCATATTCAACTGACTGTATATTTAGGCATAAACAATTACCTGTCATTAATCTTTAACCCACCCCTACCCCGACAAAAGCTATATATAAACCGTAAATGGCATCTTTAATTTAATTCTATGGGTGTGCTTCTAAAACAATCCATTTCATAAAATAAAACCAGATTTTTTTAATTTTAGGGTTTCATTATATACATGATTAACATTACTGAATTCATAGCAATTCAGTTCCAGGCTCAAAGTGTTTATGATCGCTGTGCGATTTTGAAAATGGCAATACTCATAATTAAAGGTACAAATATAAAATGAAGAATAATAGGCAGCATTATTTCAAACCTAAATAAAAAAGTGAATCTGCAAGTTGTAGGGTTAATGGTACTGGGTGCATTTAAAACTTTTGAAGTAAGAAAAAAAAAATTTTATTTATTTTAACTCGTGTTCACAAGAATTGTAAGTTTCTGCCATTTAGATTTTTTACCCCCCCCCCCCCTCACTAACATACACGTAATCCTACAAATGTTAATCCTGGGTTTATCTATTGTGTAAATGATTGCGGATTATTACTCATTCATTTGTTTGTAAAATTTCCACCTTTTGATTGGTTAACATTAAAATATTTTTACTGCTAGACTGAAAAATATTTCGTGTATCCTTTATATTTTCAAAAAAGCAGTGTCATTATTGACCCAATGCAGACAGACAACCTTATAGATGCAGTGAATCAATCGAATTTCCTTTTTATTTACTGTCTATTGTGTATTGTAATTACATGTTACATATACCACACTTCACAGTTTTTCTGTTTTTATATAAAATTTAGAAACGAAGAACAATCAAATAAATTTTCACTTCGCAGTAGCATTTAGGTAGCGTAATGTTGTAATTTAAAAAAATTAATTTTCACATTTATGGTAACTAAAGATATATCGTTTATGCTGAAATCTTGACCTATCAAGAGCAATGTTTAAATTAAAATAATTTTCAAATGAATTCTACAGGCTTATCAAATGACTCTTGCATGGATTACCAGTAAATATTTTGTTTGAGAAAATAAAAAAAAATGAATGGATGTTGCCCGCTGTTCAGGTTTCCCCCTGGTGTCATAGAAAAGTGAAATGTAAAACAAACACTCACTCATAATACTATACACCACTGATGATTCCATAATATATATAACTATTAAATAATTATTAATAATTAAAAGAGACAATGAGATAAAAATAATGTGCATGGAAAAATATCAAATATTATACAACTATTAATCACCGTAGTAAAATTACAGAAGAAAATCATTTAACGTTCACTCTGAAAACGTTTGACGTTGTTAAAAAACATGACGTCATTATTAACCTGTTAAAGTATATTTGATAAAAATGAAGAAAAAACCTACTTAGAGTAGACGTAGGGCCATAAAAATTCATATTTGACAACTTCTAACCTTACTCTATCAGAATCCGTGAAAAACTCAAAATGCATAAAAATTGCCATAAGGACCCTTTTCACATGGGCGCAATCATATTTGCTCATTTGAATTCGAGCTTTACAAGATTTTCTCTAATTTGATCATATGATCTTACTAAATCTGCATAAACATTTTAGCGGGCATTCGTTTTTAAATTCGAAAGGTGTATTATACATTCCGGGAAAAATTCGTTCAACCATAGCTTCTTTTACATTCATAATCAACATAGCGGTGCAGTTGTTAATGTAAATGTTTTCAAATTATTTTTCGCCTAAGGAATTCTTACGAACTTGACCTTACGATCTGGAGTAAGAAATCAACTTCAACATGTTGAAATATTTTGCAAATACTTTATGCATCTCTTCACTGCACTTCAAACAAACTCTGTTAACATGTGAATGACCAGGTGCCCAAGCTAATTTCGTGTTTAAAAAAAGGTAAATTTTGAAATTGATTTCAGACTATCTCGAGAAGAATATGGAACTTCGGAATGAGCTTTGGTAGAAATGAAGATTTTTTAATTATCTATGAATAGATTTAAGTAGAAAGTCAAATTTAAGAGCATTTGATAAAAGAAATTTTATTAGCGAAATTGGGTGTACCCAGTGTAAGAGTTCCATACCTTGATCTTTTTTTTCACACACTCAATTTTTAAGTGATCCAAAGGCCTATGGTTAACATATATATTTGGAGTTAGCTTTCCTTGCTGAACTAAAAAAACAAAGGCACAAAAATGTCCGACTCCAGATCACGTCCGACTCTCGATCACTTTACCCTAGAAAAGTTCAAACAAAATTACCTTTATTTACATGTAATTTTGAATTAATTCACAACTTATTACTTTAATTCACTACTTTTACTGTTACAATATGTTATATGTATGTTGTTGATGTGTGTGTTGTTATTTACTCTGCATTGAACAGAAGTGGATTAATTAAAATAATATAATACACTGACTCTTACTTGCAGTTTAATATAATTAGGGCCCTGCTTGGCGGGCACCCTTTAGTGATCAGTCTGTCCGTCCGGCTGTCCGTCCGAGATCTTTTGTCCGGTGCATATCTCTCCTTGGCCCAATCAGGCTCATACTTCACCCACATAGTGCCTTTGGGTAAAGGGTGTGCAGTGACCTTGAACCATCTTTCTAGGTCAAAGGTTAAGGTCATAGCAGAATTGTATGAAAAATCCTTCTTCGGAGCATATCTTCTCTCCCCTTTGTCCAATGTGACTCTTACTTCACTCACAGAGTGCCGGTGGTCAATGAATGTGCAATGACCTTGGGCAAAGTTTCTAGGTCAAGGGCCAAAGTCAAAAATATCCTTTCTGTTTAATTTTTTGTCTGGAGCATATTTTCTCTGACCTTGGCCTAATCTGGCTGGCCCATACTTCACCCACAGAGTGCCTTGGGGTAAAGGGTGTGCAGTGACCTTGAACCATCTTTCTAGATCAAAGGTTAAGGTCATAGGAGAATTACACGAAAAATACTTGTCTGGAGCAATTCTCTTGCCTTTGTCCAATGTATCTCATACTTAACTCACAGAGTGCCAGTGGTCAATGGATGTGCAGTGACATTGAACAAAGTTTCTAGGTCAAGGTCAAAAATAGCCTCTCTGTTTAGAATCTTTGTTCGGTGCATAATTTCTTTCCCTTAAGTCCACTCAGCCTCAAACAAATTGACTGGATACGGAACATTTGTGATTTTCCTTCCATATTTCGATAGAGGATATGCAACAATTTTCATAGAGGATACATTTCTTAAAGTTTTTTAATTGTATTATTTTTCATGGAGTAGTCCTTTTTATCCCCTTTAATCTCAAACACCTTCAAAATAAACCCTTTCAGCTACATTACATTTTCATGTTCATTGCTAAAAGCGGGTCCCTTTGAGATGGCCACCATCTCAATGATATCTAGTTAACATGTGCGTTTCGGCATACAATTTACATATGTTAGACTCCAAAGTCCGATGGTGACGCCAAAGTCCGACGGTCTTGCCAAAACTCGGATAATTTGTTGCCGGTACGGTCGGTGATTCTGAAGCACTGTCTACTTTGGCTATTTATTGATTGATTGTACATATGTTTATTGTTTAACGTCCCTCTCGAGAATTTTTCACTCATATGGAGACGCCAACACTTGCAGGTGGAGAGCTACAAATTTTGTCCTATATTCGGCACTCAGGGCCATTGAGCAGGGAGGAATCTTTTTCGTGCCAGCACCAACTGCGACACGGGACCTCGGTTTATACGGTCTCATCCGAAGGACCGATCTCCACGTCCCACAGTGGCATTCGAACCCGCGACGTAAGGATCAACTCCTTACCTCGCAACTCTAGAGCAGACGCTCTAACCACTGCATCACGCGGGCACCTGTGGCTATTGAACACCACATAAAAAACAGACTATAGTAACTCTTTTATGTGAGGAGGTAAACAGTTTCGTCACGGGAGCAATATTTCGAACGGAGATTTCAGTGAATATTTTTATGTTCGGATTAACATGCCTAATCGGTTAGCATTGTAGAAATAATAGTGACAGAGAGTGAAATAAACAACCAAATGACTAAATTGAAGCGAACGGCAGTGTCGCCTAGGTGAATAATTGGCGGATCGCAGATCCGTGCATAAGCCCCGCCCACCATGACGACGGTAACTAAGAAGTGAAATGCCCGACATTCAATGTAAACAATATGGCGAGCGAGATTTGTCTGAAGGACATTCTGGACGATTTTTCAGTGGCATTTCTGAATTATACGCCAACTTTAAGACAGAAACAAAGGGCTATAGCTTTTGTGAAAGATTCTTACATTAAATCTGCGAAGAATTTTTCGGGAGAAACAGGGAATGGTGTACAGATAACAGCTAAAGTTTTCCTGAGTCAGAGAAAGAGCGAAGAACCACACCGTGTTGATCTTGAAGTTAATCTACAACAAAAGAACTTCAATGACGCACATTGCAGTTGTAAAGCTGGGTAAGCCTGGATAAATAAACGATTTATGTGCAGTGACTTTATTACGTTTTTGTTGTGTTTACACGTTAAATATTAAGGTTGCATTTTTTCTGATTAACCTCTTGAAATCTTGGTTATCATGCCGTTCTCATTTTGTTTTTTCTCCTTTGAACAAAGTTTATGCATGCAATTGGCAATTTCAAAGAATGTCGGCATAAATTATCACCCGAGTGAAAATTTTCAGGTCAGTGTTTTGTTGACTTCAGACTCAGAGAGAGAGAGAGAGAGAGAGAGAGAGACTACTTAAACGTTTCCGTGAAAAAAGGAGAGAGAAAAAATTGTATTTTCTGAAATGTATGTATAATGTGATTGCAAATTTGAGGGAATACCAGTATATTGGCCTACGTATATACATATGTATATATACTTATCTAAAGTTGTATTTAAAAAAACAAAAAACGACAACACAAGTTGCTTTTATCTATTTACACATTTCTGTCACAAAGCCTAAATTCATGAGGTTTTGTTACTTTACCAGCTTACCATGGTAATACTTTGATTTTATGTATCTACGTGTAGTACAATAACATTATATGAATTTTTCACAGTTATTGAACATATAGCAGCAATAAAAAAATATCTATTGAAGGATATCTGGTCAATGTGCTCATGTGTTGGCAGTCGTCAATGCACTGGAGCAGTGGAAGATCTCTGGGTACAAGAAGGTACCATCAGAGATTTCCTCAACCAGTTTGCCCCAGCAATGGGACAAACCTCGTGGAGATAAAATAAAAGATGAAGCTGTTTTCACTATGATCATTTCTTGTCCGACAAATCTGGACAGAAAAAGAAAGCCAGTTATAGCATCCTATATTGATACCAGGTAAATGTCATTCCAAGCATGAATGTTTTTATTTCATTTTCATAACATGTAATATATGATAGCATTTTGGCCATCACTGTTTAAGGATTAGGTATTGACAAAATATGTACAGTAAAACACACTTTAATGATGAATTGATGATAACAGCAAAGCGATTTTCATTCCCCATGTATTTAAAATATATTGTGAACTTAATGGATTTATCATATTATACTTTATAATCAAGCAAAATCAAGCAACCCTGAGTGTTCTGTGCAAATGTTCCAAATTATGTCAATAAAACTGGGAGTACTAGGAATATCTTATGCTGTTATTGTTGATGATTATGTACAGTGTGATTTTTTTTTCAGGAATATTGACATAAATTTAGATGACATCCAAGAACTGAAGAAATTGAAGCAAAGTCCAATTTCATATCTGGCAGGCGAAACAACAACCAAATGGACAGTGAATACTCCACTTGGAGAGCAGTTGATTGGTTCAGCTCTTAGTTATCATGTTAGTCTATTTCATATCCCCTTTAAACTTCATTATATAAATTATACATTTATGCCTTAAAAGATTGTATATATTATTTAACGTCCCTCTCGAGAATTTTTCACTCATATGGAGACGTCACCGTATGCCGGTGAAGGGCTTCAAATTTTGACCTTTACTCGGCACTCAGGGCCATTGAGCAGTGAGGGATCTTTATCGTGACAACGCCTGCCGCTGACACGGGGCCTCGGTTTTTAAGGTCTCATCCGAAGGACCCGCAACTTTCACTTCAAAGTGCCGAGCGCATGGCGAAGGAACAGTTGCTACCAATTTTAACGACTAGGTCAGTCGCGGCCGAGATACGAACTCACGACCTCCCGATCACGGAGCGAGCGCTCTACCGACTGAGCTACCGTGAACGGTGCCTTAAGAGAAAGCAAAGGACAAAAAGCAAGGTTAATCAGTATTTTTATCATGAATCAAAAAATTCATGAAGTTTGTCAATAAACAACAAGTTAACCATATTTGATCAATGATACTGAAAAAAAGACAAACTAATTTTCCCTGACAGGATCTTAAATTGCTTTATACGAGCAATAGCTCGCTCTACATAAACTCGATGTTTAGCTATTTTAACAGTTTCTGTAACTTTAGAAGCTTTAATCTGTGATCCACAAGATGCAAACGGTGGTATATTAAGTTTGAGTCCAACAGCTTCAATATCTTTCTCTATGTGGAAACCTTTGTCAACCATTATTCCGTCACCATTCTGCAGCTTTCCACACTTTATAAGGTCTGAGAGAAGTTTAAGAAAACCACTTTCTTCTGTGATATCTTTATCAGATATTGACCCAGAGAACAACATAGAGGAAAATATCACAGAATCTCTCGGATCAATGCCTACCAGTCCCTTTAATGTTGTACTTGACTTGTAATCGGAATAGCACTGGCTTTGACGATGAAGAGAACTTGGTTTTTGTACCTTTAGCTCTGTACAATCAATGATAGCAAGGGTATTTGGAAAGTCTTTCTTGTAACTTTCTGGCATATTTTCAGTTAAAATATTTCGATGTGGCCAAATATCTAAACTACCGAGTCTAAAAAATATATAGTTGATCCAGTGAGTAAATATTGCACTAGAGTCTTGTGAAGATACATTGAACAAATGTGAAATATGTTTATAATAAAAGTTTTGTGCGAGTTGGTCTATGGTTAAGAGAGATTTGGCTCCTTTTACTGTTTTACCCCACTTAATAGGATCTTCATCTGTTGGAGCTAAAAACTTGTAAACACTATTAAACTGATCCTTAGAAAATCCTGTGTAATACTTGTAATCCTTTTTCCTTGACTTTGTGACACCCAAAACACCTTTCCTGCAACTTTTAGAGTTGTAAAAATTGTTGTTCAATTTCAGCATTGTTTTAAGCAGCTTTTCTCTCTTCCACTAATGCTCTATTTTCTGCAACAGCCAAAAGGTTCAGTGGATAACATGTACCACCTGCAAAAAAACAAAACAAACAAACATGTATTTTTATGATAAGTAAACCTAGCTGTGCTCTAAAATGTAACTTAGTACATATATTTTGTACAAGATAAATTCAATACATGTATTTGAATATGTTTTCAATCTGATATGTACATGCAGTGGTATTTTGCTATTTTATTGATATTCATTTTTTTTTCAGGCACCACTCATTCAGCCAATCACAAAACCCCGAACTGCATGGAGTTGTGGAGATACAGTTTTTCCCAAGGCTTTACCTTCTGATCTCCAGAATATTCAACAACTTGCTCATGAGTGGAAAGAACTTAATTTAACTTTGAGTGAAGCCACTGAGGTAGAAAAATCAACTCGCTCTCAAAGTTTTGACCAAAGATGGCATATCGAACGAAAAAAAAGAATTACTGCTTCCAATTTTAGACTCATAATGAAAAAGGAAAAAGGATATAAATGAGACATTCTTGAAAAACACCTTTCAGAAAGAGTTTACATCATCATCGACATCCTATGGGAAAGCGAATGAACACATTGCGAAACAGATGTATATAAGAAAAACAGGAAATCACCTTCATGACGTAGGCTTGATT